TAAGATACCAATAATTTCATTTTCTACAACAAGTCCCTCCTTGACTTCACTCTGAGTGCATATTTTTGATAAATAATTCAAATAAATAAAGAAAGGAAAAAGGAGGCTAGAGTTTCATTAATTCTGTATAATGCAATTGAATACAAAATAATGAATTAACCTAGAAACAAAGATACTATATATAGGCTAAACAAAGGAAATTGAAAAGACTATTATACCCTTAATAAACAATAAAATAAAATAGCCATATATTTAACCCTATATTTCTTAACAATTTTATCCGAGTAACCTTAAATGATTCAAATCAATTAGAAGCCGTAACTTCAATTGTCAAAGCATTTGAATGGAAAGAAGTTGTTCCTATTTACTTTTACAACGAGTTTGGAGAGGGAATTTTCCTTATCTTACTGATCGCCTTCAAAAAGTGAATGCTCGAATCCCCTACAGAAGTGTAATTAATCCCTTTGCTCGTGATGAAGAAATCATTGTAGAGTTATACAAGTTGAAATCAATGTCAACGAGAGTTTTCATTGTACACATGCAAATCCATCTTGGTGCGTGGCTATTCAAGAAAGTAGAAGAGGTTGGGATGATGAGCAAAGGAAAGTTTGGATCATGACTGATGGGATGACCAACTTTCTAAGCTTAATGGATCCTTTGGTTATCGATTCAGTGCAAGGAGTATTAGGTGTAAAACCTCATGTCCCCAAAAGGAAGAGACATGAATTCACAGTTCGGTGGAATAGCAAACACAAGCATAAGGTGGAATTGAACATTTTTGGTCTGCGGGCATATGATGCTGCCACAGTACTAGCAAGGGCAACTGAAAATTCAGTTCATCAAAATTTTGATAATCTTAGCCATCTGACTACTACTACCAGTTTCAGAGGCCTGAGTGGAGAATTTCACATTTTCAATGGACAACTACAATCTTCAACATTCTAGATAGTAAATGTGCTTGGTGAAGGGGAGATAGGGATTGGATTTTGGACTTGAGAAAATGGATTTTTAAGAAGGTTAAATGTCAAAAACTTGTCCAAATATAATATTTCCAAGGACAAACTTAAACCAATTATATGGCAACGTGAAATTATGTCCGTGCCAAAGGGTTGGGTGACACCAACGAATGGCAAAAAGTTGAGAATAGGAATAGCAGCAAAAACCTTTCGACAGTGAAGGGCTACTGCATAGATGTTTTTAATGCCATGATGGAAATACTGCCATATGCTGTTCCTTACGAATTCGTTTCATTTCAGAAGCTCAATGGCGAGAGTGCTGGTAGCTACAATGACCTGACATATCAAGTTTACCTAGAGGTCAAATTCATTGTTACTTTGCACTTGTAATTAATTTCTAGTAGGGATCATTGCCTAATTTATCATTAGTTCCGATAGTCAAAGTATGTTAAGTGGTTAGATATTAGTTTGCAACGCGCCTTTGATGTGTAGGGGGATTCATGTTTTTAGCAGAGATCTCCTATGTGAACAATTTTCATAAATATGTAGAAACGAGAGCTTGATTTTAGGACCTCTACCTACTCTACCATGATGAGCCACCTCATCTAAACCCTCAAGCAAGCAATTAGAGAGATGACACATGCTTTTATTTAAATTTAGTTTTTAACATAAAACTGCATGATTTAATTAACAATGCTTGTTTGTGACAACATATAATTGTGATGATATGGGGGGAGATGTCACAATATTAGCAAACAGATCATCATATGTAGACTTTACACGTTCATACGCAGAGTCTGGTGTAAGATTACTGGTGCCTTTGAAAGAGAAGAAGAAATATGCATGGATTTTCTTGAGACCATTGACATGGCAACTTTGGTTGACAAGCGGTTAATGTTTTCTTGGGATTGGTCTCATGATTCTCATTCTTGAGAGCTTTAATATGTCTGGATCTCAACAAATCTGCCAGAGTTTCTGGAGTACTTTCACACACATTGTTCATAGTAATAGTGAGTGTTATTTGACCTCTTTTGCTTGCATACTTCATTGTAGCAATGGAAATTTTCATAAAGATGTTGAATTTTCTACCCTTATACAATTGTGCAACGATAACCTTTGACTTAATTACTTGATGAAATTATGTTGCAGAGGAAGAAGTGGTGAATAATGTTACGAAGTTCCGGGGTGTATATGATAGTGAGAAAAGGTTATTAATGTGATCAAACGAACAAAGTTTTAACCCGTAGAAGCGTTAAACACAATGTTTTAAGAGGTTGGAAAAATTGCAATATAATACTTACAAATGAAAACCAAAATAAAATAAGAAGTAGAAGAAGTAGGAAATAATAATCAAAGGCAACTAATGACACTTTTTCCTTAAGACAATATTGCCCCTCTATGGTGCTTACGGTTTGCGGCACTTATCTCCCAAGATACAACGGATTCAGTTCTTGTGGTAGTAGCACTTCAAACCACAAGACAACGACGAACGTGGCGGTATTCCCTCTCTACAAGGAAAATTGTTTTGGAATGAATTTGGGAGAATTTTTACAAGATATTTTATGAATGCACAATTCACATATGGTATGAGATGCAAAATGGACATCCAAGGGATCTCATATATAGAGGATGAGGGATTGTGAATGAAATGCCGCGCCCCAAGCTCAACAACTCTTGCCAAATGTCGCACCATTCACTATCGATAGCATATCGCCATCACCTTGCTCGAGCGATAAAAACAGTGACTTTTTCACTAGTCTGTCTCTGACTTGTCGCTTGAGCAACATCTCAGCCATAAGCTAGCAACAGCCTTAGTCAATTTCCAGACAGCTTCCTCTATTTTTTTTCCACCTTTGGACCACAATTTCTCATTCATCCGGAGTTGACTTTGAGATTCCAAATATACCACGACGATCTACTCGACGAGTAGAACAAGTTGTCTATTTAATTTTGTAATTTGACCATCAGATCAAGTCTGAATATTTGACCGAAATTGACACGAAAGTCACTTTTTTTTTTCAAATTTTGGTTTTATCACTTAACC